CCAAACTAACTTATTTTAATGCTTTTCACACATATTCATCAGAGCTATACATAAATCTGTCAATTAACTCTTATCTCTTTGGAAAAAAACGAGGGCAAATCAAATATTCTTCAAGCATATTTCCGGTGTGAACGTGTGTACCAAGCATAGTTTCAGAAAGTAACTGTTCCCCCTCTATTCTTTGCAGCATTGGTCCCAAATAATCTATGGAAATAAACAACAGCCTTTTCGAAACGTCTTTACCAGGGAACGCTTATAATGTGTTTTTAAAAGGATTGTGTAAAGGCGCCCTCTGGTGGTCCAGTGGAGCCAAAAGCAGCCACACTTTCAAAAGCAAATTAATAGTTTAACCACATGGCTAAACTATAACGAACAATCTGTTCTAGGAAAACAGAACTTAGAAATGAGGAAAACATTAAACAGAAAACAAGCAGTTTGTGGACTGAAATGTACTTTAACTCTGTTTCTTAACACTGCATGTTTACCATATTTAGGTGCGCTCACAATTCATCTCTTTGGACAAAAAAAATAAAAAATAAAAAATACACACAATTTCCCTCTTTATGAAATTACCTCCCAACACAGCATCAGCTGAGCTTAAAAGAAAGTAACAGAAAAAAGTTAATCGGAATCAAATTACTATGAACTTTAAAGCCCTGCCATTTGTGTATTTACATACGTTTTCATTAATACACAAAAGTTGGCATTTTTAGACATGACATTATAAGCATTATAAGCTGAATATTTCTATTCAGCTTATTTATATAGCACCAATTCACAATATCATTTTTTTCAAACCACGAAAAGTGCAAAATTAAAGTTTAGGAACAAACTGTGTCCAAAGTCTTTACCAGTAACACGTTTGTTGTGTTTTGTGTAATAAACTCTTTTTTTTTTTTTTCAAAATTTGCTCTTACATATCTCTGTGGTATGCTGCAACTGCCATCAACTCACTTCACATACTTTAAAGACATCGAATTAATGTGACGGGTCAGTATCTCATGTGTTGGTAATTTTTGCTGCTATTCCCTGATATGTTGAACATAACTGGACCAAAGTGACCCAGATCATCAGATGGTTCCCATTCTTTTCATCTTATTAGGTTTCTGGAAAACCTAATAAATCCAGAAAGTGTTGAAGACAAATTGTCTGCTGAAGCTAATTTGCAATCTGACTTTTTAGCAAAGCTGTTCTCAGCAGCAGTTTCCTCATGTGAGACCATTCATAGATTGGTCATTACCTTTCTACGCAATTCTGCTCGATTCTCATCCCTTCAGAGCTCCATCTGGGATTTCTCCCACTGAGCTAGATTCCTTCAGTAGGATTTCTACGAGGCCAATCAGCAAACAGAAGTTGCAAACGATGATGCTGATTTTCGCCACCGTTTTACAATTGTAAAGTCTTCCTGTAGTTCTAGCAATGGCAATGGAGGAAGTGAACTAAGCTGTTTTGACCACCCATATAAATATTGAATTAACATCAACAGCCATGTTGTTCAGCTTAGCACTTCTTTCTCGGCAGTGGAGGACAGTTGTTCACAGCGCAGGCAACTTCTGGCAAGCTTTATACTGCTAAACAGGTGCAGTCTTAGCGATTGGGTAAAACTTAAAATGTCAGCACAGCCTTCCAATAGTTTCTCAATAGATGAAGGTCCAGGCATGTTGATGGGTTAGATTGTTTCAAAGAGCTGCTCAAAAGACTTGCTCATATAATATTCTTACAGCAGTAAAAACTGAAGTCACAGTTGTCAATAGAAAACATTTGGCCTTTTACAGGTCCTGAAAAGACCAGTTGATTTTCAGAATACTGCCTTTCAAAGAGCACAGCTATCCTTTACTGGGCATATTTCAGCATCCCTGCTCACACTGCCAGAGCGCCGACCCATGAATGTCGAGTTAGAATAACTAAATCCCTTCAAGTGGCACCAACCTCAGGCTTCAGACTGCTTGTAGTGGGAAAAGGTATTGTAAATTAATTAGTAAATTATTCTTGAATTGACTGAGATTTTGGTGAAAGCCGATCCCTACAAGCCAAGCAGAGCATATGGATGAGAAGACTGCAGCATAATGCAGCACACAAGGAGTGTAAAGATTCCTGTGTGGTTTCTTAGCAACAGTGAACGGTGGGGTATCACTCGCCATCACTCCTCACACAGAAGAATATTTTAAAAACTTATTTGACACATGGCTGTGCAGTGAAGCATGTGCTGTTGAGCTTTAAGTTCTGTAAATGGAGTGAGGGCTAAGCAGACACTCATTAATGACCATCAATGATCAGATCTAAAGCTTCATATTCCATAAAGCTATAGATGTTCAAATATCAAAATAATGTACAGCCTGGTTGACGCCTGTTCACACAGACTGTGCTGAGGGTAATGCACTTGCTGTAGGTTAAATATTTGTCATTTTTTGAGGAAATCGGTTTTCACTTTGACATTTAAGGATTTATTGAACTTTTTTTGTAAAAAAAAAGTCAAATTTTGTTGATCTTGATTGGTTTGTAAAATCAATAAAAATGGCAAAACATCAAAGGGATACTTTTTATAGATGCTACAAAAGCTAATTATTTTCAGACTTGTAAAAGCTAGAAAACAATTTCTATTCATTCTTCTTCACAACTACTACACTCTTTTAATCTTAATAGCAGGGTTTCTGCAGGTTTCACCCACTCAGATTTAAGACAGTTTTTACGACCACTGTGAATAGTATTTAAGACCTACATCTCCACAGAAACGTACGAACTTTGACCAGCCAACTGGCGAGAAAATTCCAGTTAGGAAAGATAGATGTAATGAAAGCTAGCTAGCTAGCACCGGTATGTTAAAAGCTAGTTAGCAGTAGTTTCAACCGTAATATGCTTCCATAGAGCGACTCATACTTTTGACTGGCAGAAAAGTCCCACGAGAAAAAAAAGTATAGGATATATGGGATTAAACAAATTTGTCACGACAAAATTTAGACTTGGGAAAAACATTAAAGACCAACTAACTTTTTAAAATAAATTCAAGACATTTTAAGGACTCAATTTTAGGTATATGAAGTTAAGACATTTAAAAGAGCACATCCTGTCTAAAACATTCTTATAACACAATAATTTGCTGCTATTAAATTTGACACAGCTTAATCTTTTAAGTGATTTACTGCGATATCTTTATCTTTGCATTTTGTTACAAATAAGCCTTGTGCATAATTTTCTAAATAACCAAACATCTCACACACTAGTAGCCATTCACACAGAGCTGAAGGTCATGAGACAAGCAGGTAATCTGTATAAAAAGTAGGTTGCCTTTATTAGAAGCTGGGAAACCAAAACATTATCAACATTGTTTAATACTTTTCCTTTAGACCACAATGTTGCTACTGCCAGCATTTATTCAACATCATCGCTTCGCACTTTTTCCACAACATGCAAAAAGATTGAAGAGTTCAGTGTTCCTTTTTTCCCCCCACTAGACTGACAAAAGCTTCACTGCCTGGTCGCCATAGGAATCACAAGTCAGCTTACATTAACATTGCCAGAACAACTCAACGTAGATTAAAAAGAAACCAAACAAAAAAGTAAAAACAGAGAAAAGTTGAAGACTGGATGAGAGAGGAACAGAACCATGTGCCTCCAGTAGGAGGAGAGAGGAGCCTCTTTTTTTTTAACCTCCAAGTTTTTAAAAACAGCTGGACTGTAAGGACTCTGTGCCAATTCAGGGACCTGAACGTAGAAAAACACTGACCTGCTGTCTCAGACAGGCGGGAAACAATCAAATGTGCTTGTGAACGAAAGTTCCGGCGCCCCATACCAACCCGGCTGGGACGAACTTCTATTGCGACCTCAGGACGACCTGTACGAAAACACTGTCCCCAAGATCGCAATAGCAATTTCATTCTTTTATTCTTTTTTTTTTTTTGCTTTGACATCAAACACAAGAGGATAATCTCACAAGTGCTGCACCTGATCTACAAATCACGAGTTCTGAGATCGTCTATGGCTTTGGATGGTCTGCTGATCGGACTAATTGGTGACTCGTTTCGAGCTGGGCGTCGGCCGCCTTGCTAGCAAAGGCTTGAAACGTGAGGACTCGTTACATTCTCAGGCCTTCGGGGATGATATTAGAGCCACTGGTGGAAAAAAAATAATTTAACCGAATGAAAATTAAGGCATCGACAGACAAATGAACACGAACACGGAGCTTCCTGGTCTACTTGAACTGCTAAAGCGGGCAACTCAAAGTACTGAAGAACCGAAGTGATGGGAAACCGACGGGAAACCACTAAAGCTGATGGGAGAGAGAGAGAGAGAGCTGCTCCCACCGTCACACTGAACAGATTAGATAGGGTCAATGGATTTTCTTTAAAATCAAGATACATTTTATTTATTTTTCTTAAAAAACAAACATTACAAAAAAATCTGAATAGAGAATTAGAACAATGAACCAACAGGAGAGAGAGAAAAAAAAAACATTCTTGTTTTAAGCTCTCAAAACAAAGAACACCTCTTGTTGCATTTTTCTGAAAACAACAAAAATAAAACCAGGATGTGGAGGTGCCTGGCACAAGGGATTGGATGTTAGGATGCTGCAGCCATGCAGGGGGCGCCGTTTCAAAAAAAAAAAAAAAAAAATAAAATATAGCTGGATATACAACAGAGAAAACTGTTCCAAAAAGCAGCTGAAGGAAAAATGATTAAAAATGACAAGCGTGACCTTTAAGTGAGCTCAGAAATGCTTTAAATAAAGTGTTTAAAACTCATCACGGCATTCAGCGGCGCCGAAAACACCAAGCAGAGAGGAAACGAGGGGCGTAGACCCCGGCGCGTGTTGACGTGCATGAGATACAGCGCTTTGCCTACCGATACCGAACACCACCTGGGATGGGCTGAACCGGTAAAACAGGGAGAAAAGAAAGGTTGCTGCTCTGCTACAGGACGGACGCTCGCTTCACTGTCCTACAGAGACGGAGGAGGCGATGGGATGCTGACTGGAAAAAAAAAAAAAAAAAGCAGACATTCTCCAAATCGTTGAGCCAGGCCACCAGGAGGGGAAGAATAAAAAAACAAACAAACCCTAAATGCAGAGCAACAAAAGAAAAACATATGAAAGAGAGACAGAGAGAGGTGGAGGATGGGAAGGAACAGGTGCCATCTTCTAGTCTTCCCCAGAGGGCGCCTCCTCTTCTGAGCCGTTCTCCTCCTCGTCGTCTTCCTCCTCTTCCTCGTCTCCTCCTGCAGACTCCTTCGTTGTCTTGGGGGCAGGGGAGGTCTCCTCCTTCTTCTCGGCGGCCTCCTCCTCTTCCTCCTCCAGAGGGCTCTCTGGTTCTTCCTCCTCCTCTTCCTCTTTGGGTGAACTTTTCTCCACGGTCTTGGTGCTGGGGCGGCCCTTGCCCTTCCCCTTCATGGGGCTAGGGGTGACTGCAGGACAGAGGGGAAGAGCTCAGGGCAACTCATCTCATCGGTTAAAAAGAAAAAAAAAAACTGCAAATATTTCACATCAAGTCACTAAAAATGATATGAACAGTTCTACAGACTGGAGTAAAACTGATTAAGAGTTGTGACCGTAAATGAGAGGCTGGAACAAAAATAAAATAATTTCATTCTATATAGAGAATCATAATTACTAGCCATGGAAATTTTTTTTAATCAATTTTAATCTGCTTAATTTTTTGTAGAATTTTATTTAAAGGGGAAGTACTATGACTT